GCCTGAGCGTGCTGCGCCTGGAGGGCCTTTGGAGGTGTTGGGGCTGGTGGTGCTGCAGGAGTTGGAGCTGGAGGCGCTGGAGTTGTTGCTGCTGGAGATGCTGCTGTACTTGGAGCTGCTGGAGGTGATGGAGTTGGTGGTGCTGCAGGAGTTGGAGCTGGAGACCCTGGAGCTGGGGGTACTGGTGTTGTCTCTCCTGGTTCTAAAGGCGCTGCGCGGCAGCGGCCGTACTTCGTTCCACTCCTTCAGCAGGTTCTTGGTTTCCCCTGGTCCTACTCCTCCCTTACTGTGTCCACCGCTTGACCAGTCACAGTCGCAGTTATAGCCAGCCTCCCCACTGTCTGGTCCTTCTCCTTACACTGAGCTGACGGGAGGTCTAGCGGAGCATCGTGAGCCGGAGTCTCATCCTGTGTCGCATGTTCGCGCTGCTCGCACTGGTCGTCGGGTTCCTCGTGAGCGTCCTCCTCCTGTCCCTGGCATGCACACTATGGCACTTCGTCCTTCCACTGTTCCACTGCGTGTCCCTCTGCCGTCTCCTCCTGCGTCCTCCCTTGCTGACGGTCCGGACCCCAAGTCTGACTCTCTTCGTGCTGCCAGCCCTGCTGTCACGCGTCTGCTAGCTACTGTTGTCACTGACCCTTCCTTTGAGTCCACTGCTACGTCTGCCTTAGTTGCTGAGCTTGTCGACTTTGCTGCTGTCGTCTCGACTACGCCACTAGTCTTGTTGCTGAGTCAGAGTCTGTCTATCCTCCGTCCGTCGGGGGTGAGTGTGCTCTTGGCACGGACGTCCTTGAGGACAGGCAGGAGGACTTTGAGTGTTTTGCAGCTTCTGTACCTCATCTCGTGTCCATGCTGATTGCACCTGAGGGAGACCCAGATGCACCAGACATCCCGACCCCGCGCTCTTACGCAGAGGCGATAGAGGGTCCCATCTCCTCTCAGTGGCAGTCAGCCACGGACGCAAAGATGGCATCCTAGAAATCCATAGGCACTTACGTCGACGAGGTTCACCCTCCTGGGGCGAACATCGTCAGTGGCATGTGGATTTTCAGGGTGAAGCGGCTGCCGGGTTCTCTGCCTGTCTTCAAGGCGCGTTACGTTGCACGAGGCTTCAGTCAGCGGCAGGGAGTTGACTTCTTCCAGACCTTCTCCCCGACCCCAAAGATGACCACTTTTTGGGTTCTGCTGCACGTCGCTGCTCAGCGTGACTACGAGCGTCACTCTCTTGACTTCGGCACTGCTTTTCTACAGGGCAGCCTGCACGAGGAGATCTGGCTGCGCCGCCCACCTGGCTTCACCGGGTCATTTCCTCCTGGTACCTAGTGGAGCCTCCAGCGGCCAGTCTACGGTCTCCGCCAGGCGCCTCGCGAGTGGCACGACACACTGAGGACGACTCTTGTGGCTCTTGGGTTTGCTCCTTCTACTGCTGACCCGTCACTGCTTCTACGCACCGAGACTTTGCTGCCGCCGTTCTACATCCTTGTGTACATCGACGACTTGGTCTTTGCCACTGCTGACACTACTCGACTGGCCCTAGTGAAGTCGGAGCTACAGAAGGGACACACGTGCACAGACCTGGGTGAGCTGTGCAGCTATCTTGGCTTGCAGATCACCCGGGACAGAGCCCAGCGCACCATTACCTTAACACAGTCACACATGGTGCAGCAGGTCCTTCAGCGCTTCGACTTCCAGTACTCCTCGCCACACTCCAATCCTCTGCCTACCGGTCACTCGCTCTCAGCTCTGCCTTTGGATGAGTCCGTAGAGCCGAGTGGCCCGTATCCAGAGCTTGTGGGCTGCCTCATGTACCTGATGACCTGCACTCGAGCTGACCTTGCTTACCCTCTTAGCATCCTGGCACGCTACGTTGCGCCCGGGAGACACCGACCAGAGCACTGGAAGGCCGTGAAGAGGGTGATGCGCTACTTGTGCAGTACGACAGGCATTGGGCTCGAGCTTGGAGGACGGGGTCGAGTTGTCCTCACTGGTCACGCAGACGCGTCTTGGGTTGACGACTTGGCTACGCAGCGGTCGTTACAGGGTTACACCTTCAGCCTTGGCTCCGGCTCTGTTTCGTGGCGGTCTACCCCCTCGTCTTCTATTCTCAGCTCCAGCTATGAGGCTGAGATCTACGCAGGGGCCATGGCTGCACAGGAGTTACGCTGGCTCACCTACCTGCTGACCGACTTGGGAGAGGCGCCTCGTTCTCCTCCAATTCTGTACGTCAACAACAAGGCCATGAGGGCCTTGTCTCAGGAGCACAGACTGGAGCACAGAACGAAGCACATCGCTCTGCGCTACTTCCTTGGTCGAGAGTTGCAGCAGCGTGGTCGGCTTCGTCTTGTTTACGTGGCCTCTCAGGCCAACACTGCTGATATCTTCACCAAGGCACTTCAGCCTTGTGATCATCAGCGTTTCTGTACTGTTCTAAGCCTTGTGCCTACTTGGCCTCACTTGCTCACTTCTTGACTTTGCTTGTACAGTGATCTATATACTTATACTTGCATGCTTACACTTGCTAGGTTGTGATCACTGTTCTTCTTTATATATGAATGTGAATTGGTTCTGCATGTGAATTGGCCTTGTGGCCATTTGCTTGTGCTCGGACTGCGTGGTGACGTTGTGATCCACCCTGAGCTTGACCTTGCTTCGTTCTCTTGCTTGTTCCCCACTTTGCCTATGGGGGTGTGTCAGAACTATGCTCTAGGCTGTAGTGGGGCACTCCTCATGGGTTACAGCCCAATTAGGTTTTGCTATACAAACCCTGTACTGCTATCATTCTATCATTCCTTCTTCCTACTTTATGACAGAATCGGCATCTTCTCGTGCGGGGCATCGCGCCACCAAGTCTCAACGCCGTCGTCGTCCGCAGCGATGGCAACGCCCTCTGGGAAGACGTCCGCGCCTGTGCCAGCCTCGCCGCCCGTTTCACCCGTTGCCACGTGGCTGCTCGTCGGCGAGTACATTGTCGTCGGCGCCCACAGTCGACTCGTCCCACGCGCAGTCGTCGGGCTGTCCCCAACGTGGTGCCGGCGGCGATGCTTCGACATACACATCGGCGGGCTTGTCGGCCTCCGGTTCAGGCAGCCACTCGTCGAACGTCGCTGGCAACAACAGCTGGAGCACGGGCCGTTTGCCCGCATAGGGAGTACTGGTACTCGTAAAAGGAGCAGGCCGATTCGGAGGAGCTGGAGGGGTGTGTCAGTAGATCTGCACTGTGGATGCCCGATTGATCCTAGGGGGGTTGCAGGCGCGCTCGCCTGGGGGGTTATGGGCGCACTCTGACCCGCTACTTAACAAGCCCTTCTATCCCAATGGTCTAGTGACTGGGATTCTGGCATGGTGTCAGTAAGGTCTCGGGTTCGAATCCCGGTGTATGCACATGTAGGCCGTTGCCATTGTGCTCAGTCCTGGGCCTCCCAGTGTGGGGGGGTGTCAGTAGATCTGCACTGTGGATGCCCGATTGATCCTAGAGGGGTTACAGGCGCGTTCGCCTGGGGGGTTATGGGCGCACTCTGACCCGCTACTGAAACATTCCTCATTTCTTCACAGGGTGGGAGGAGCAGGTGAAGCAGGTGGAGCAGGAGGAGAAGGGGGAGCAGGTGGCGAAGGAGGCACGGGTGGGTAAGGAGGCGCAGGAGGTTCACGGGTATACCACCCGTCGTCGGTTAATCGCCACGCGCGTCTCGGTTTCTTCTTAAAAAGGAAGTGGGTCCTAGAGAATTTCGCCATGGCTTTGCCAGCCACGCGGGCTAGAGCAAGAAACTGAATGAAAAAACACAAAGAGGGGTTGCATAAATGGAAAACGGAGGGGACCCCTGCTGAGTTTGCGGCTCGGGGTCCTTGTAAGGTGCAGGCGGGAAATCCCCGACTGCACCCGCAGAGGACCCTGCGTGTCAGCATAATCGTTGCGCTGGCAGGGAATCTTTCGCACCCTTCGAGAGGGTTCGGATGAAATTCGCATGCCACACAGCGCAGGGAGATGTGATAGGGCCGCACGGCAAGATTCGCATCGTCGCTGGCAGGTGCGATGCTTCTAAACGAAAGTGTGGGTTGGGAAACCGAGGCGCGTTGCTGTTTTCGCCTGGAATTCATTCACGACCCCACGTGATGCATGGTATGGTCGGCTGCATTCGCCTTACAGTGGGCTTCAATTTGGTATAACTTAAAGTCATTTTTATTTTTTACTTATTACAGCCGCATGCGCTTATGCCCGTCACTTATTTATAAGCGCACCCCCCTAAAAATCAATGTCTTATTATAAGCGCACCTGCGCTTATATCCGGGGTACTACGGTAACTGCTGTTGCGGTTCGATACAGCGACGACTCGGGTAACTGCTCAATAGCGAGTCAGTTATGTGTCCTTGCTGTCGCGCTGCTTTTTGGCGAGTTAAAGGTCGCTGGCCTTTGACCTTCACTCAACCTCTTGCTGTTGTCTTTCTGTCAACCGCTTTGGTTGACTCGCTGTTACTTCGCTTCGCTTTCGTTGTAGTGCTCGACACATCAGCGCGAACTAAATATTTCCAACATACCCCACTACAGCCTACACAACTTAAACATTTTAGTAGTTTGACAATAACTTGAGAACCAAGTCGTACTCATAGTCTACTAGATTCCTCACGTAACTAGGAACCGCGGGCAAGTTTCTAACTTAGGCGTTTTTCCTTACAACGCTAGTCACTCACTACTGCCCCCTAATTTCCACCCTAGCTTGTTTCCTGCATTTGTAGAGAGTCCCCCGGGTCCTATAGCCGGAACTATACGGTACGCTGTTTGACTCTTCTCCCTCTGTTGCCCTGGACAGTTTACTTTCCAGACAGTTCATGCTGTCGCAGTTGAATCATTTTTTAATTCTGGCGCCCGTCTATAACAAACACCACCTAACAATTTCAATAAGAAACTACCGCAAGACAACATTTTTTTCCTAACCAGTAGCTCGCTGATGTGCGAAGTCGTAGCCCCTTTTCTCAGAGTTGCACTCCCTGTGAGTGCCCATGCCTCATCCGTGATGCATGGTGGGGGGCTGCACGTACCCCATGTGGGGGAGGGGCATGCTGTGTGCCGCCACCACGGGCCGGGCCAGGTGGGTGCGCGGGCCATACGCGGGGTGCCCGGGGGCAGGCGGCATGGGCATCATGCCATGGTGCACGTGCCCCATGGGCGGTGCCCCTACAGGCGGGCCAAACACAGCAGACGGAGGCGGCATGGGCTGCGCATGGGACGGCACCCCCTGGGCATGTGTGTGAGCATGAGCGTGGGCATGGGCATGTGCGTGTTGGTGCTGCAGTGCCTGCTGTGCGCCCCCACTAGCGGTCCCCGCCGGCTGCCCCGTGATCGGCCCGCTCTGCTGCTGCCCGGCGTCGCCGGCACCGGCAGCGGCGGCGACGGAGGTGATGTCGTGGATGGAGGAGCGGCGCTTGTCCTTGTTGATGGCGTTGAGGCGGATGAAGTACTTCTGCGCGTGTGACGCCACCTGCGTGGGCGTGCGCGAGATGACAAAGTTGCGCGAGATGCTGCGCCAGTCGCCCTTGCCGAACTTGGCCAGCCCCAACAGGAAGAGCCTGCCGGGGGAAGCAGAGCAATGGGCATCAGAGGAGAGCACGGGCAGAGGCATCAGCAAGGAGCAGACATGGGGGAACATATGGGAGGGCGTGCAGTGGATGCTGACATGCACTGCCATGTGCTGAAATGCCACAGCACAGCACAGCACAGCACAGCACAGCACAGCACAGCACAGCACAGCACAGCACAGCACAGCACAGCACAGCACAGCACAGCACAGCACAGCACAGCACAGCACAGCACATCACAGCACAGCACAGCACAGCACATCACAGCACAGCACAGCCCAGCCCAGCATAGCACAGCACAGCACGCACGGCACAGCATAGCACAGCACAACACCGCATAGCACAGCACAACACCGCATAGCACAGCACAACACCGCATAGCACAGCACAACACCGCATAGCACAGCACAACACCGCATAGCACAGCACAACACCGCACGGCACGGGGCAGCAAAGCACAGCACGGGGTACAGCACAACAGAGCAGCACAGCAGGACAACTGGCGTGCAATGCTTTCTTCCAGCGTTGCCTCAGTGACAGCCAGGCCCCTGCCCATAGCGCGCACCTGCGTTCCTCCCCCTCCCCCTGCCCATAGCGCGCGCATGCCTCCCTTCCCATCCCCCCGCCCATTCCGCGCACATGTGTTCGCATCCCCACCCCTCCCCTCCCACCCATGCAGCGCACCTGTGTTCCTCCTCGGTCCACGGGATGCCCTTTCGCCTCTCCTGCTCCGACCCTCGCGCCTGTTGCGCCGCGGCCCCTTGCGACGCCTGCTGCTGCGACGACGCCTGCTGCTGCGACTGACCCGCGGGCGACGACTGCTTCTCTTTCCCCGCGCCCGCGCTCCCCGCGGACGCCTTCCGCGCCCCCGACGCCTCCGCGTCCGAGCCGTCTCGCGGAGATCCCGCTGACGTCATCGGCTCGTCCTTGACGTCAGCACTCGCGAGGACGTACGCGCCATTGGCGTCGAATGCGGGCAGCGGCACGCGGCCGCTCTCGATGCCGCGAATATCCTCCTCCAGTACCTCGTAGTGCCGCCGCACCTCGTCCGCCGTCTTTCCCGGAAGCTTCGCCGCGATCGCCTCCCAGCGCGCGTCGTCCGCAGCGGCGGCGTCGGGCAGCGCGTCCATGTCGACGAGCAGCGTCTCGAACAGCTTGTCCTCCGCGGCCGTCCATGTCGAACCGTCGCGCGCGGCCCCCTCCATCGCCTGCTCGCCGTGGCCCGTCGCCATTATCGCTCACGATTGCAGCTTCTTAGGTTGCAATGCTGTTTGCGATAGTCGCTATTATATGAGCGTCTTGTTAGTCTGCTGGGGTTTTTGCGTGCATGTCTCTCTCGGACGAGGTTATCACGCTCATGGCACCAACAACCACGGCCCTTATAACAACGGGCAACCGTGTGTTAAATATAAATCACCCTTGACAATATTTATAAAAATCAAGATACAAGGCTTCCAAGTTTAACTAATCCCACCAAGGGATAATCTAGCCTTGATAGTATTCTTCAAGCTTGAGAGGAGAAAGGGAGCTTGAAGAAGGTTGATGAAGCTTTAACAAGTAGGTAGGAGCTTCTTGTAGAACTTGTCTGTGGAAAATCACAAGTCTAGTTGTGTAGGAGAGCTTGTTAGGAGAACCCAAAATGACTAAGAGAAATCCCATTTCCAAGTTAGATTGTTGGAGTTGGGAAGTGGGAATGAGCTTGAAAGCTCCAACCCCTTCCATCACACCCTTTGGGGCTCTTCCCAACCATGGCTTCCATGGTTGGGGAGCTAATAGGCTTGGAGCCTAGGTGGCATCTTTGTTTGGTTGGGAAAACCCAACTTAATTGTGTTGTATGGTTGTTTTGTGTTTGGTTGGATTGTAACAACAACTGGCATAATTTGATTGGTTGGAAATCCAACCTTTCCAAACTTCACTTTGATGGGTTGGAAGTTTTCCAAGCCTCAAGGTTGAGGGTTGGGAAAACCAAACCAGCTTTCCTCTCCAACTCATCCTTCCCATCTCTCGTAGTTCAATTTCTCGTCGAAGAACTTCTCGACATTGACTACGAGAGTCTCATTAGGTGCTTAGGTAGGTCGCGCGTTACACTCCTCCCCCCTCAGGTGGCAACGGCCTCGTTGCCTTGAGGTGCTTCTGAGGACAAGCGCTTCGAGCACGCCGTATCACATTACGACCAGGGTCAACACCATCCACTGGCTGTGCGGCAGCTCGTCGGGCCAGATCTGCCATGTATGACTGAACTGAGTTGTGTGTAGGCTGTAGTGGGGTAGCTCATATGGGGTACAACACTTTAGGGTTTCCTACTTGTACTCCTCATGCCCATAGCCTTTCCACTTGATGAGGAACTCTCGTATTGTCTTGCGGCCGCGCTGTCGATCACGGTGCATCAGCACTCGTTCGACTTCATAAAGCAGTTCCTCCCCCAGGACGATCGTTGGTGGCGGCAAGTACTTGCCCTCTGCAACGTACTTGTTCAACAGAGACACGTGGAAGACGTTGTGAATCTGCAATGTATCAGGCAGCTTAAGCTTGTAAGCTACCACACCAACACGCTTGATCACCTCGATGTCAAACTTATATGCTATAGTCTGTGTAGGCTGTAGTGGGGTAGCTCATATGGGGTACAACACTTTAGGGTTTCCTACTTGTACTCCTCATGCTGCTCAATGCAATCATTCTTTTCGTCTATCATTCTCACATGGTATAGAGCTAGTTTCGATTTTTTTTTTAAAGGGCCCACCACTGAAATTTCTCCCCTGCCTACTTGCCGCGCGCTTCGCGCCTTCCCTTCGAGGCCCGTCACGGCCCCTGCGCCCGCCCTTAGAACCTGCGCCCGCCCCGTAAGGCCCCTTAAGGCCTCGTTAAGCCCCGTAAGGCCCCTTTAGGCCCCGTTTAGGGCGCGGTGTAAGGCCCCGTAAGGCCCCGTTATGCCCCGTAAGGCCCCGTAAGGCCCCGTCAGGCCCCGTTTGGCCCCGTTTAAGGCCCCGTTAGGCCCCGACAGGCCCCGTTAGAGGCCCCGTACGGCCCCGTCAGAGCTCGTTAGAGGCCCCGTACGGCCCCGTCAGGCCCCATTTGGCCCTGTTTAAGGCCCCGTAAGGCCCGTCAGGCCCCGTTAGAGGCCCCGTCAGGCTCCTTCAGGCCCAGTTAGAGGCCCCGTAAGGCCCCGTTAGAGGCCCCGTAAGGCCCGTCAGACCCCAGTATAGGCCCCGTCAGGCCCCGTTATGGCCCCGTACGGCCCCGTTCTAGGCCCCGTCAGGCCCCGTTATAGGCCCCGCACGGCCCCGTTATAGACCCCGTACGGCCCCGTTATAGGCCCCGTCAGGCCCCGTTATAGGCCCAGTTCGGCCCAGTCAGGCCCCGTTAGAGGCCCCTTCAGGCCCAGCCGGCCCTACTGCGGCCCTGACGCATCTCTTCCCCGGCACTGCCCCGGCCCTGCTCCTGACCTGCCCCTGAACTGCCCCGGCTCTGCCCTGGCCCTGCCCCGGCCCTGCTCCTGGACTGCCCCGTCCCTGCTTCTGCACTGCCCCGGCCCTGCTCCTGACCTGCCCCTGAACTGCCCCGGCCCTGGCCCGGCTCTGCCCAGGCCCTGCCCCGGCCCTGCCCCGGCTCTGCCCCGGCCCTGCCCCGGCCCTGCCCCGGCCCTGCCCCTGAACTGCCCCGGCCCTGGCCCGGCTCTGCCCTGGCCCTGCCCCGGCCCTGCTTCTGCACTGCCCCGGCCCTGCTCCTGACCTGCCCCTGAACTGCCCCGGCCCTGGCCCGGCTCTGTCCTGGCCCTGCCCCAGCTCTGCCCTGGCCCTGCCCCGGCCCTGCTCCTGGACTGCCCCGGCCCTGCTTCTGCACTGCCCCGGCCCTGCTCCTGACCTGCCCCTGAACTGCCCCGGCCCTGGCCCGGCTCTGCCCAGGCCCTGCCCCGGCCCTGCCCCGGCTCTGCCCCGGCCCTGCCCCGGCCCTGCCCCGGCCCTGCCCCTGAACTGCCCCGGCCCTGGCCCGGCTCTGCCCTGGCCCTGCCCCGGCCCTGCTCCTGACCTGCCCCGGCCCTGCCCCGGCCCTGCCCCTGCCGAGCCGCCCCGCCGCCCAGCAGCCGAGTAGCCGAGCAGCCGAGCCGCCCAGAAGCCGAGCCGCCGAGCCGCCCAGCCGCCGAGCCGCCGAGTCGCTGAGCCACCCAGCACCGAGCCGCCGAGCCGCCCAGCAGCCGAGCCGCCGAGCCGCCCTGCAGTCGAGCCGCTTCTGCACCTACTTACGCGCCCCGGCCCTACTTACTCGGACTGGTGAGATCACTCCCTGCTAGGCCACTCCAGTCATGGCTACCCCCAGTGTCCTTACCTTTGATGCTGAGGGTCGTGCTGTTGACTTTGAGGTCTGGGTTGATGACCTCCAGCTGTTCCTACAGTGCGATAGGGCAGACGGACTCTCCCTGTTCGATCTCACCTCTGGTGCCTCTCCTGCCCCGCCTGCTACTGCTGACAGCACTGTTCGCTCACAGTGGGCCACACGCGATGCTGCTGCCCGTCTTGCTGTTCGTCGCAACTTACCGACTACTGAGCGTGCGCACTTTAGCCAGTACAAGAGTGCTCAGACCTTGTACGACGCTGTAGTTGCGCGCTACTCTTCCCCTGCCACTGCTGCGCTTAGCCGCCTCATGCTGCCGTACCTGTTCCCTGATCTTGCTGCCTTTCCCACAGTCGCTGACCTCATTACGCACCTTCGCACTAGCGACACTCGCTACCGCGCTGCGCTTCCTGCTGAGTTCTGTGCCAAGAACCCCCCCCCCATTTACATTACCCTCTACTACATAGTCACCCGGCTCCCTGACTCCCTTCGCTTAGTCAGGGACCACTTCCTCTCAGTTTGCCCCACCACACTCACCGTTGACCTCCTCGAGGAGCGCCTCCTAGCAGCAGAGAAGAGCATAGTCGCTGTAGGAGCCTCTCGTGGTGACCCTCGCACCCCCGTCTTTGAGGGGTGTTCCCCCTCCCCCCTCTTGCCCTCTGTTGCTTCTGCTGCTGCGGCCCACCTCGTTGGCTTCGAGTCGGTCGGCGCTGCGTCTGCCCCTAGCGGGAAGCGCCGCACCGGCAAGGGCAAGGGGGGCAAGGGCGTTGGGGGGGCCAGTGGGGGCGGTGGAGGTGGTGGTGGAGGCAGTGGAGGGGGTGGGGGTGGTGGTGGGAGTGGTGGCGGGGGCGGAGGTGTTGGTGGCAGCAGTGGAGGCGGAGGAGGCGGCGGTGGTTGCGGAGGGAGCGGAGGCGGCGGCGGCGGTGGCGGAGGTGGCGGAGGCGGCGGAGGTGGCGGTGGAGCTGGTCGCGGCTCTGCGCAGAGGAGTGGCTCCGGTGGTGGTCCGCGCCAGCAGCAGCAGCGCGGTCGTGAGACCCTGTCCCCTCAGCAGCTTCGTGAGTGGTACGCTGGGCGTCAGCGGGGTACTGGTCCCTGCACCTACGTCCTCCGTACAGGCGACCGCGCTGGTGAGCAGTGCGGGGGCACGCACTCCACCCAGCGTTGCTTCGGCCGCCTGACGGACGCTTGGCGTCATCAGTTCCCTGACGCCACTGAGATCCCTCGCTGGGGAGAGCTGTCTAGGGCGGGGGTAGCTATCTTTGATCTTGACTATGATACTATTCTTGCTGCCATGTATGCTGTGTCTACTAGTGATGAGGGTGACTGTTACCTGTGTGTTCCGCCTGACCCAGGCATTGAGGCTGCTGCTCTAGGTGCTGGTGAGGCTGCTTCTCTAGGTGCTAGTGCGTCTGCTGCCCCAGGTGCTGGTGAGTCTGCTCTCTCAGGTACCACGTCGGCTCAGGCCTTGCACACCTTCACCCTTGACTCGGGTGCTTCCCGCTCCTTCTTTCGAGACCGCACCACGCTTACGCCGCTTAGTCGGCCGGTTGCGGTCTCCCTGGCGGACCCCTCTGGGGGTCCTGTCCTTGCTAGCTTCTCCACTGTCTTACCGTGTCCGGCAGCCCCCTCTGGCACCCTGTCAGGTCTCTACCTCCCCTCGTTCTCTACGAACTTGGTGAGTGGAGCTGATCTACAGGATCGGGGGGTTGACCAGTTCACACCTGCGAGTCAGCGGGTGACCCACTGTACGTGTGCTCGGACGGGCCGACACTTGGCCACGTTTACCCGTCAGCCGGGGTCGAGCCTGTACACACTGACCACTGAGTCTCCTCCTGTTACTGCGTCTGGTCAGGTAGCTGCGTCGAGTCAGGTGTTTGCTGCAGCGTCCAGGTCTGGTCCTGAG